TTAGTAGAGACAGAGTTTCGTTATGTTGGCCAGGCTGGTCTCGAACTCCTGGCCTCAAGTGATACACCCACCTTGGCCTCCCAAACTACAGGAATTACAGGCATGAGCCATAGCACCCAGCCTCATTCCATTTCAACCTACTCATTCTCTGTGAAGAATGAAGACAGTAAGGATAAATGTATTTCATTGAAAAAGCCTACATATAAAGCTACTTTGAATCTCTGCATTTGCAAAATGCTTTCAAATCATTGCCCAGTTCTGAGATGTAGAACAATATATACATTAAGGGTAATGATAATGTACTGAATAGCTACTGAATATAGTCACAAGAGAGGGTTTTTGTTTTGTATTTTGTTTTGAGATAGATTCTCACCCTGTCTCTCAGGCTGGAGTGCAGTGGCGTGATTTCAACTCACTGCAACCTCCACCTCCTGGGTTCAAGTGATTCTCCTGCCTCAGCCTCCCCAGTAGCTGGGATTACAGGCATGTGCCACCATGCCCAGCATATTATGTATTTTTTTGGTAGAGATGGGGTTTCGCCATGTTGGCCAGGCTGGTCTTGAACTCCTGGTCTCAAGTGATCTGCCCACCTCAGTCTCCCAAAGTGCTGGGATTACAGGCATGAGCCACTGTGCCCAGCCATGTTTGTTTTTTTTGTGTTTTTTTTTTTGAAGAATAAGTTTTTATATATCTATTATTTTCCTACAAAATAAAAAATCTGACACTTAATAGAAGATACTGGTTTGTTTAAGCTAGTGAGGCACTGGTGGAGAAAGTTAACAATCAGATCCCCAAATGCTTGCTTCTTCATTTATTTGAGATAGGGTCTCGGTCTGTCACCCAGGCTGGTGCGATCACGACTCACTGGAGACCTGACCTCCTGGGCTCAAGTCTTCCTCCCAGCTCAGCCTCTCAGGTAGCTAAGAATACAGGTGTGAACCATCATGCGTAGATAATTTTTTTTTTTTTTTGTAGAAATGGAGTCTCGCCACGGTGCCCAGGCTGGTATTTATCATTAGTAATAACCTATACCTTCAATTTGATACTTGTAACACTCTGTGAGGAAGAGGGCAATAGAAGTCATCTCCATTCTATTTACTGGGAAACCAAGGCAAAAATTTAAATAATTTGCTCAAGGCTTTGAGGCATATAAACAGTAGAGATGAGAAAAGAATCCAGTTTTTTTCCTCCCTTAGTTGATAGTGTTTTCATCTGCCCCAGTTAAACACCCCCAGCAGAATTTTTATATATGGGCAACATTAACTTAACAATGAATTCACTTCACAACAATGAGTTTACTTCACATACAAACAATTTTTATTGTTACATGTTACGGATCTAATTTCTTTCATTTAAGTCATAATTTGTAATTCCCAATGGTGAAAAAGAAGTTCTTTCTTTTTGCCATAGGTATTACTGTTTAAAAGCAAAGATTTTCTTTCTGGTATAATATATCAACATTAATGTTAACAAATACAACCATGCTGGGTGCAGTGGCTCATGCCTGTAATCCTAGCACTCTGGGAGGCAGAGGCAGGTGGATCACGAGGTCAGGAGTTCGAGACCAGACTGGCCAACATGGTAAAAGCCCATCTCTACTAAAAACTAGCCATGTGTGATGGTGCACAACTGTAGTCCCAGCTATGCAGGAGGCTGGGGCAGGAGAGGTGCTTGAACCCAGGAGGCAGAGGTTGAAATGAGCTGAGATCGTGCCACTGCACTCCAGCCTGGGCGACAGAGCAAGATATTCTGTCTCAAAAAAACAAACAAAAAAAGCCAAATACAATCACTAATTGTCTTATGAATTCTGCTACAAAGTAACTGCTAAACAAAAACTAAACTCAGAAAACAGGTGTAACTGTTAATGTCTACTTTTCAGTCTAACCTGTGATAAACAGCGTCAATAGGTAAGTTTTCCTGGCACATGGGTTTCAACAGTCTTTGTCTAAGGGATCTCTTCTCTTTCAGCACTGCTTCCAAATGATTATTCATGCTTTGCAGAGTATGACACTTCTGAGCTACACAAATTAAAAATAGTAATTATAGTTAGCAATAGGACAGATAACAGAATCACCAATAATTTCTTCTTTGCCTTGGTTTGACACTACCAATGTCAAAAATTTTTCCCATCATTGCCCTCCTAAATGTTTCCTCTTTGCTAACTTTAATACCAATACCAATTTCATTTTCAACAACTTCCTCTTAGTTGGTTTTTGTTTATCTAATATATTTCTACTACCTCTTTTCCTAGTGATAACTAAATCTAATGCTAAATTCTTTCTGTGTTTCTCATCT